CTGCTGAAAACAAAACCTTGGGGACTGCAGTGAGACATCCAGGTTATTTAGAGTTCTGCAGTGCAGGGGGAAGTATCAAGATCATGGTAACTCTTGGTTCCTTAAAACTTGACCTTTGTTTCTGTGTGCAAAATTATTGGCAAATCACTTTGACGGAGGCAGAGAAGACTTCCTATTAACACTTGAGTATTTTTATAAAGGGACTGTGTAGTTGTTTAGCTAATGCAAGGTAAGGCAGTGGGAGGAAAACACGCGATGGGATTAAATAATCGTGGAAAGTGTTCCCTGCTCTGCTAACTGTATTAAAATGCACCAGGCAAACTTCAGCCTTGGAATCACCAGCATTACAACTCCGTTCAAAAAAGGCAGTGAGAAAATAATAATGAGCCTGGTCCTGGGTCCTACAAAGTCCTACAAAGGTGCTTTTAGTTTAGCCGGCGCACCGGCCTATGGTTCTAGTAGGGAAGCTTGGATATGCAAAAGCAAGTACATGCTCAAATGATTTGTTGGATTAGGGTCAGATTGTTCCATGCCTTACAAAACTGAACTGAGAGCAAAATCCTGTGTTAACAGCAGACTGCGAAAACTAGCGATGGAGGGAATAGGGCAGGAAGAGGTGTGGGTGATGAATTCTCTCTGAAAATGCTTAGCTCTTAATGATGAGCCCTGGTCAGCCAGGGACAGGTGTTGATGGAAGGGGAGACAGAAGTGCTAGGGTGAAATGAAGTGGGGGAGGAGGAGAGGAGCAGTGAATTCAGAACAGATGTCAGGAAATGCTTTTTCCTTCAGAAACGGCTCAGCATGTGGAATGGATCCTGGCAGTACTGCTGATGCAACAGTGCTGGACCTGCTCCAGGAGCTGTCAGATGTGGGGGTGGGAGGAAAGAATAGGGAGTTAATAAGGGATAGGTTTCTATGGCCTGTTGGAGTTAATGCCCTGTGCTCTCCCACCTCAAGCGTGTCCAAATGTGTTTTGAATTGTCCTTTGATATTTCACTCCAGCCCCAGAAAGAAAACAGAGAGGAGGGTGTTTGATCTGCTTTTGTAGCAAGTCCAGCAAAAAAAGATGATCTTCCTTTTGCATGCTTTTTTGGATTACACTGAGCTAATACATTGTGTCATGTGGCTTTTGCCAGCGCAGGTCTGCTGTACAGGGCTCCTCACGATGGGAGCTTTGTTAGTGCTCCCGTAGCCATATGCATACTGGTTATGTCACACCATAGCTTTGTGGAAAGAGGCACCTAGAGGTACCTTGGCCGCTGTTACAGGGTCCATAGATCGTCATTCATAATTCAAAATGGCTTGATTAGACTTGCGGTTATAATTTGTACTACAGTAATGACCTGAATAAGATGACTGGGTAGGAAATAACTTCCGTGGTGTAGTTTCCGTGGGATCAGTACTAATATCTGTAGGGTGAAGAACAGGAGGGCGAGTTGGATTCTCAGCACATACCAAGGGGAAGAATACTCAAAGTGGATGAGATCTGTACAAGTGGAAACACAAGGTATCTTCCCCCTCCCACCTGCGCTTTCAACTGTTGCGTAACACTTGAAATCTCTGGTCTGGTAAAGTTTTGCAGTGCTCTTAATGATGCCTCTCCTTGGTGGAGACGACGGAAACCGTGGCCCAGAGGACATGTTTAGCGATAGTAAGAGACTTCCACTCCTGTGCTCGTCTTTCATGGCCCATTTTTTTTTTTTTTGAATTGCTTTAGACGACGTTAAAGGCTTCATTCAATCTGTCGCACTGCCACTTGCTGCCTCCATTGCCTCTCTGAATTTACGTAGGGACTGTTTCTCTTCCTCTTTGACTGGGTACCTAGTGTTTCACTCTCCTGAACCTCAGATGGGTATATCTGAGCTAACCATCTGGATTTCATTGAGGTCAGTGCAGAGAAATCAGCCATCTGGATTGCAATTCCTTTCCTTTCTTTCGACTGTAAGGGAACCTGTACACCTAACTCGGAGAGAGTGTCATCTGTATTGTAGGACTCTGAAGCTGGGTGACTTGAATGCCACCTCTAAACACCAACTAATTTTTTTTTTTCCATAGAGTTACGCACCTCAATAATGATTAGGCACCCAAATACCTTAGCAGATCTGGCCCTTAATCTCTCTATGCTTCCTAAACGGAGATAATGATCCTTTTCTCTCTGCTGTACTTGCCAGCTGTGCGTACAGACTCTGGTGCTTGCTTGGAGCAGTAGAGCCCTACTAATCCTAGCTGAGCCCCCAAGGTGCTGGTGGAATAGGTGGCTTGTACCACGGGCTGGTGGGAAGGGACCTGCAGGGCCCTCACCGTAGCTGTAGTGATAATTATCATAATAATAATTTTCTGAATTAACTTCTATTATATACCCTAAACCTAATCTTTCTGGTTGATGGCATGAGCAATTTAATACAGATTGAGGCCAGCACAGGGAAACTTCAGGCTGATTAGGTGGGAAGAAAAATGTACTATTTTCCTCCTCCTCAGCTGCTCAGAAGCAAATCTTTCATAACGCAATTGAAATGCCAAGTCTGCTTCATTGTGCTTGAA